AATAATATGCAAAAGATCAAGCAAATTAGGAATGAGTAAAATAAATTATTATATAAAACCTTAATAACAATTTTCAATCAAAAATTTGTTTTGCCTACTAATCTCAGGATTTTACTTCTTTATTTTTTTAGATTTTTTATTAACACTTCGTTTCCAGGAGTTGTGGGCTGCATTGATTGCACACATATTGCAATTGTACCTCCTAACAACCAGAATGCAGAAATACCTGAGTATATTTATGTAAACAGAAAAGGTTACCACTCATTAAATGTACAATTGGTAAATGTGTTAAGATTTAGTCAATATTCAGGCATGTAGCCAAGACCCCATGGACCTTCTGGATACGTGCCTGATTGAAATAACTTACTAGCACACCTAGTCAAATTCTAATCAATAGTTAATACCTAGTTCTTTTATTTTATTTAATAGATTTGTGATTCTAAACTTTATATTTTGAGTGTGAATGCAAAATTTCCTGGCAGTACAGCAGACTCTCATATATGGAATTCATCTACAGATATAAAAAATATCTTGGAGGAATTGTATAGACGTGAACACAAAGGCATATATTTACTGGGTAAAATAATATTATTCATAAGAAAAAAAATCAATTTAAAATGTTGGAATCAACCTGATATTTAAAAAAACTAATATGATGTAGGAGATTCAGGATACGCCCTAAGACCTTGGCTTTTAACACCATATTCTGAAACAACAACTAACGAAGAAGAAAAATACAACAAAATGCAGATGACAACACGAAGTATAATTGAGAGATGTAATGGTGTATTAAAGGCTCGGTTCAGGTGAGTTTATAAAGCATTATTAGTAATTATTTTTAAATTGTTAGTTAATTTTATAGGTGTTTATTGAAGCATAGGGTATTACACTATACGCCGCAAAAATCAGGGAAAATTGTAAATGCCTGTGTTATTTTACACAATATGTGCATATTGGCTAAAATTCCAGTTCCAGACATGAATGATGAAAATGTGGAAGAAATTGATTTTGGAATTATAAATAATAATTATCCTGAAGATGGCATTCGAGGAAGGAATGTGAATCCTGAATTAGTTGAAAGTAGAAGAATAAGAGACAATATAGCAAGATGTTTGTACAATAGGTAGTTTAGAACAGAAAACTTATATTTTGTATAGCATTAACAATATTATAAAACTATTAAGATAAAAAAAATATCATAATTACCTATTTGTAAGTAATTTTATAAAATAACATGTAACAAAAACATTCAAACTTAATAAAAATTAATATTAAAAAAAAATAATTTGATTTTTTAGGAACCTCCTTTACATAAATAATACAAACAAACTAGTATAAACTGGTAGTAATTAAAAAAATCATAACTATATATTTTAAATTATATACTATTTAAAAAATCATAATTAGTCTTTTAGTTACTAAATTAAACCATTTTTATAGTATACATTACAATTTATTTTGTTTAGCAGCAGCTATATTTTCTAATGCTACTGTTTGCCTTTCTAAGAGGGCAATTTTTTGTTCATAGTATTTTTCTTTTAGCTTTAGTTTTTGATCTCCAATTTCAAAAATGTCTCTACCAAGAGCTAGACTATTGGTTAAACGTTTTGCTGTAGATAATGTTTCGACCTTTTTTTTATCACCTATAAGAATAATAGTAAACTTTGTTATAAAAATAAATGAAAATAATTGTTATATATTATTAAATGTGGGTAATTTGTGATTGAGTTGATTCAATGACTTTTTTAGATCAATTGATTAAAGTGAATCACTGTGCTATAGTTTAGTCGTTTAGTGACTCAATGATTCATTGATATTTTTCATATAACTACTATCATATTTAATAGCTTTAGTATTAGTATTATATGTCATGTCATAAATACCATCAATGCCAGTAGGTATACACCACAATATATCTCATTGCACTACATTGTATTAAGTTAAATATCAAACTAATTGGGTAAAATTATAGTACCTAATAGTACTACCTAGTACTTAAACATTGTTGCCACGCTCTATAGATTATAAGTTAATACACATAAAACAATAAAAAATAATTAAATATGTATTACATAATTAATTTGAAAACTATCATCAACAGCTTCCAGGTATGACCAAAAAAATGTATTTATTTATTGCCTATATTATTTAATTAGTATATTATATTATTTATATTAGATATTTTTATATTAAACTATATAATTTATATATAATTATTCTTTAATAAGCAAAAAAATTAAATTGGTAATAAACTAATACATACATTTTTTTTCCACTCTATCAATGGATATAGGCGTTATAGCACAGTTATTTTCCTCTACAGGCTGCATGGTAGGTATAGTATACATACTAATTCCTTCATCTGGACTTACACATTCAATTTGTACCGGGAATTCTAAAAAAAAAAGTATTACAATCATTTCTATCTTTCTACATAAGTAGGCAGTTATAGGGAATAAAAATTGACCAATTCAAATTTAAAAACACTAACTGCTTATGTCACCAAACTCAAAATTAGTAACCGGCATTGAAATGGTCTCATCTCCATCAATTGTGATAGGATTAACAAGATCAAGAATTTGGTTCTCGATTGGAGTAAGTGTTTGCGATATTTGTGGTCCTCCACCTGTACCATTTACATGCCTGTTTACCATAGCTTTTTTACTTCTAACCTTACTACGTGAATCTTGCCAAGTCTTAAGATAAAATACAATAAGAATAAAGTATAGATTATTTCCTATAGTTAGATTTATGTAGAAGTAATTTAAGTCATTTCTTACTCTTTTCCATTGACTCCAATCATTGACACAGCCGGGAATTGCATTTAAAGTGTCGGCGATTTCAATCCATCTGTCACGAGCATGCTTAAACGTGAAAGTGCTTGTAAACTTACCAGAAATTAATTGTGAATCTTTTGTCAGAAATTGGATGAGCATCTCTTTTTGCGTTTTCGAACAATATATTTTTTTGGAGTCTTCCATTAAAAAACCAATTATTGTACCTACTTTATAAACTTGGTAGTTGTACTTATAAGTTGTAACTTTGTTTAACAGTACCTAAGTATAAGTTTACATCATATATATAAACTTATAAAACTAGGTATAGAATTATAAAAAGTTTAGTAACCATACTATGCGTGTAACTACGAATTACGATACATCCATTACAATCAAAATACCGCGATAACGGTGGTGTTATCACAATTATTATTTATTATAATCATGATAACGTTAGTAACCAACTTGGTTCATGTGAAAAATATTTCGTGTGTGACAAAATAATTTCGTTTCACAATCATATGTCGTGTGGAGTTCAAGAATTGCATTTCAGATGTCGTACGACATAACAGTACGGAAAATGTCTCATGAGTGATTTTCCTAACGAGATTCAAGAATCGACCCC